ACATACAAGCTGTGTACGGCTAACAGTTCGATTTACTTTTAAACGACCATAAGGTTGTATCAGCACTTCCGCCAAATGTAGTGCGATTTGGTCAAAAATGAAAGGTTGAAAATATTAGTATTGTATTTATGTAAAGTATGAAGTATTTATGTGTTTCTCTAGTGCAACCTGACGTTCGTATAATTCTCAATTAGTTTTTTTCGGAATGTAGTTCTTCATGGTTTATTGGAATTACGATTGTACCTCAGGCAAATCATATAACCACTCCACTGAATGCAAAAACTTCGGTTCGGAAAGAATTTTCGATAAAGGAAAAATTTCTTTATGAAGTCTTCATCGGGAGTTTTTGAGGGTGAGGACTTACATATCGTTGACGGACGTCTGTATGGCAATTTTACGCGCTTCATAAATCATAGTTGCCGACCAAACGCTAGGGTGAGTTTTCCGGGTGAGCAAATGCATGTATGTAATGTTGACCTCCATGTTCATCTCTCTTATAATCTGGATATTTCAATGTAATCAATCCTTGATGGTGGAACATTTGTTACGTCTGACGTTTCTCCAATATGGCGAACATCAACCGAGTCAAAAATCGTCTCTATGTCCGGGTGTTCAACACGAATAACGCGTGACCTCTTCTTATGGAAAAGTAGCAGAAGAGTGGGAGTGTGCACGTAGAGCTGTGGTTTATCAGCTAGAGACAGTCATGCGTTTGTGCGAAGAAATATTCAACTAGCAAACAGAGGATCGGGTTGCACCGCTCCGCAAGCGCACAAGAGCCAGTCATGCCGGTTGTGAATTGACCTCAAATGCACAATTTCGGCATACGAAAACAAAGCCTGGTGCGAGAAAAAACCCTAGGAGACTACTGGATAACGCAACAAAATTTGAGCATTAATTATAAGAGTTAGTGCATCAACTCGACTGATGACTTGTTGCCATACATCCCACCGTGTGAGCTTTGGTATCGGAACTGATACATGTGACATAGCGACTTGTGACTTTGGGTAGCGATTGATAGGGCAATCTTACTTGCTCTATCATCCTAATCTTGAGCAATGGTTCGGTGTTGGTGGAATTGACGTGACTTGTTGGTATCCTACTAAGTTGGAGGTTCGTTAATATGAGTTGCAATCAGCTAAGAGTGAGGGACGTGCTACTCACGCGGAAGCTCACCAGTGTTTCTTCGCGCACGTACTGCGCAGCAGATTACGTCTTATTTCCGATGTCGCCGCTACCATACACTTCAGTTGAGATGGACCAAATGGGATTGGCTTGGTCCATGGAGTAGAGAAAGGCTCTTCACCATTGGCAATGAAGCCTCTTCGAAATTGAGGATTCGCTTCACAGGCCAACAAGTCACTTGTCAGACGTTTGAAATAAGAGTAATTTCAAAATGCCACTATAAAGCTATCTTTCTTGAAACGTGCACAGTTGATCATTTTTTTACTTGTCTTTAATAGGTTTTTATTTTTCCCGTTATGATAAGCATGATATTGTAGCGCGTCTCGTTCACGGCAGGCGCACCGAGGACCCCGCTCTTTATGAGAAACCTCATTGTCTCCGAAGTGTGGATCGGACCACACCTGCTAAGAGTTCGTCTGCGTCAAGCGTGATAAGTAACACCAAAGAGTCTCAAACACTTCCAAGCTTGAAAATGAAAACTTGTCGAGACGTAAGGCGCAACAAATGTTCCTTCATTGAAGAAATCTATTCGGTACATAAGCATTGATTACATTACATGTACTCAGTGCTGTAATGTAATCATTGTATTAATCGGCTGTAATAAATAGAATATGATGAGTTCTGATCACAACATGGCATCGAAACACAAATTATTATATTCCAGGTGGGCATGGTTGTATGGGAAGCTCAGCCGGAGCAGCTTAGTCATATCTGTATATTCGCCAGTGAGAATATTCTAAAGGGAACGGAGATAACGATATCATATGGAAAATCATGGTGGGACGCCAAGGTATAAAAATTCACCTCGAACCTATGAGGACGACACCCGAGCAGTTGTACTTTGTGATTCACAACGAACACACTAGTCAAGTATCGTTATTTACATCAGTCTTAATGAACGTGAAATTTGGGTGAGATTATACTTCTCAGAAGTTATGTTTCCTATTTCACATTGGAGGGGAAGAAAAAGCTCAGCTCTTAATCGCATGTTCTGCTACCAATACTGAGAAGTATCGTTTCTTACAATTAGTAGAAACATGGATGCTTGACACTTTTCAGACGGTATCGTCCACAATAGATTCTTTGAGCATTCATAGCATCTAGGGGCGGGAAGTCGGCGACTGGGTATTCCTAAGAGAAGGACTCAGTAACCATGTTTATCGTGAACTGTGCCCTTTAAACGATAAACAGTGAGCGCCTCGTCAGCTATTATTAATCAGTATTTGTTGGAATTACTATTTAAAATTACGTTGGGTAAGCTAACCATTTTTGGAACGCGCTCCCAGCTAGCGAGCAAAACCGATATCAGTCGAAAACACCAAACTTTGGAGATTTCTAGCCGGTGAGTTAAAATTCCCACTGTTACTTTTCTAACATAAAAAACCGGGCTTAAGAAAATGACTCTAGTAAAACCGGATGAGCTCAGGCATATAATTGTACAGCAAGGATCGCATGACGATATGTCAGGCTGCTCGAGCGGATGGCGACCACATAACAAAAATATTTCTTTCTTTCTGAATCTTTCTTTGGTTTTCTATCTCGATGACCATGAATTCATTTAGCTCCGTCAATTATCCTGTCGATGCGGTCACGCAGACTGCGAATATAGGATGGATTGATTTAGATGTTCGATCTATGTCCGTGGACCCGAGTTCGTATAGCAATAATGGCGAGGAGGCGCCCTCAGTTTGGACGGGTTTATTTCACGAAGTTTAGTTTGGTTTATTTCACGATAATGAATGCCTTCAATTCAGACTGATTTATTTCACGATAGTGGACTAGAACATTGAAAATGTTACCACCTGTTTCATTTCTCTCCAAGCTTAAATCCTTTGTTCTCGTTGGGCTCACTCTTCTCGCTTGCCCTCATTCCCTCGCGTTCACGCACCTACACACCCTCCTGGCTGCTGTACTTTAGCGCTTTGTACATTCAAGGATGTGGGTTTTCTTGTGATCTTTGAGCTGCGGTAGACGGAAGAACGTTAGATGTACTAGGTCTGCCTGATAACAATCGTCAGCACGGGTTTCGAAGAGCTTCCAAAGGGCTTCAACCAATGCACACAAGCAAAGCGTGCCAAGGACCACACTTGGTAGTCGTTTTTGGACCTTGCGCGAGTTTTCCATATGTTTCTGACACAGCTTGCAAAATGTGTATTGTATATCATACACATTCTCCCCACTCGACGAGCTCAGCTGTGACATGTGAAGAGAACTGAGCAACATTATCCTCCTTGGCGTTCAACACCTCAACATTCGGTTCACTCTTGGTGTCTTTGCTATCTGTTTATAGCATGTACTGAGTTTCGTATTGCCTTGATTGCATGTAATGTTTGTGTTTTGTTATTAAACAGATCTCGATGAAGCTCTTCACTTGTATTAATAATAAAGTGCCACTATGGTGCTCTAAAAACTATCTTCTACCGCTACAGCGCCGAATAAATAGTATCATAGATTGTATGCCAGATCCTTTCATGTTATCTCTCATGAATCATGTCTATCGTCATTCTCCATTGATGCTGTTACCTAGAAAAAAAAAACGGTTTATTCACTTCATGCGGACAATGTTCATTTGATTCATTCGCTCAAGAGCAAATTTTTAGTGCCGTTGTTCCCATGTTTCCACACCACGATCAACTGGTAGTTATGACGTTTGCCTCGAATAACGATGAGTTTTACCTCTGTGCAGCAGTCCCTCAATGAGCTTCACTATTGCAGGATGAAAAAGTTGTTGACTACTTGCTTAGTAGTCATCATCTTTGTAGGTTTATTCAAAGAAAAACGTATAGTTTATAATCTCCATCCTAGAACATAGATTTCACTCGTCTAACGAGAACCTTATACGAGCGAAATCTATGTTCTAGGATGGGGAAGGCCAGTATATAGAGTCGCATCATGATCACTCACAATTAAAGGCACCTATCACAAAAA